CGGCTGTCTGTGAAGGTTCCAGTGTATGCCGCGACAGTTGGACCAGTTCCGCTATACGGCGCAGAAACTTGGCCATTAAGAAAACAGGATAAAGGTAGACCGTCGTTGTTCGAACACCGAAAGTACGTCGCATTGCACGAGTCTGTTGGGGAAACCAGATAAGCAGTACTAAGGTTAGGCGGAGAGTTTTAGGTAACCGCAGTTGTCCACTGAAACAATTGGTCGACCTTCATAGCCTACGCTGGTTAGGACGTGTATTGTGCGGTAACCAGTGATCGAAAACACTGCATCGGGTAATAGTTCCAACTGATACGCAGCATGATTGGCCAATCATGGAACATTTTTCTTTTTATAAAGATTATTGTACCATGATTTGTTTGGCACAGTCTGTCCTCAGACAAGTGTGAAATATATATATATATGATACGCAGCATTGGTGGTCGGCGAACTCCAGTTAATGAAGCAATTTGCGATAAAATGGGACGAGCTATTCACAATAGAGATCAACAGCTTGATCGCTGGGCGGGGTACTTCAGTGAACGGTTCAGTTGGTTTGGCGCCAGCCATATTACTTCATCTGCTATTGAAGCTCCGTGGGCAATGATGTGCGATCCTCCAGTAGAAGCAGAAACTTGGTCTTGCATGCAAGCTTTGAAGCGAGGAAAGACAGCAGGATCGAACGAACTCCCACTCTTTTCAAGATGTATGCGATAACCTCGTTAGCTCTATTACCAACTTACTGCACGGTATTTGGGCGCAAGAGTGCATTCATTCATCTTGGGGTGGATCACTGATCGTTCCCATACCAAGAAATAATCTCAACGATTTCGGAAACCTCCGCGGGGTAAGTTTGATCCCAATGGTCACCAAAGTGCTTCGACGTCTGACTCCATTAAGAGAGGCCAATATCTGTAAACAACCAGCCGGATTCCGACCTGACCGTGGATGATCAAATTTTTACATTTCGCAGGTCCTCGAGCTGCGTCACACCCACCGTTGACCAACGGTTTCAATGTTTCTCTCAGTTGACCACGATGCTTTGATGGGCTCCCTTCTTTGAAAAGTAAGGCCCCAGAAGTACGTCAACTTACTGAAGTTATTGTACTCACATACCTCTGGTCGAGTGAGAGCTTACAACGAACTAAGTAGGTCGTTCCTCACCATCAGCGCTGTGCCCCTTTTGCCATTCCTGTTTAATTTTGTCGTAGATGAAAGTCTGGATAACGCACTACGTGGTCTCCAAGACGTGGGTATTGAATGGGTAGCTGGAGAAAAGCTGTGCTCTGGAGAGTATGCCGATGACATCGTCTATCTGTTCGAATGTATGCGCAAAGCGCACTTGATATACTAACAAGTACTGTTGCCACATTCGGCACGTGCTTTACACTTTCGAAGTGCAAAATGATTCAGCAAAACTGGCCGTTACCCAGTCCCATTTTGAAACTGAATGGTCAGAAATTAAGTTCAGTGGATTGCTTCTCCTAGTTAGGTAGTGACTAATGGCGGTAGTGCAGCAGTAGTGCGCGGTAGTGCGCGCACTTCCAAGGCTCGAGCAGCGTACGCGCGACGAAAACACCTCTGGCGTAGACGTGGCGTTTCACCAAAATTGAAAGGCCGTTTATATCGTATTACCGCTCGTTCAGTTCTGCTTATGGTTGTGACCTTGAATTCACGAGTAGAAGATATCGATCGACTAGAAGTTCTCGATCACCTGTGTTTATCTAGTTTAGCCTACTTGAGATATAGCAAACGGGTTGGTAATCTGGAGGTAAGCCGCCGTGTGTTTAAGAGTTTATCAGGAACAAACTTACTAGGTCGTCGAATTCAGATTGGTAGGCTTCGTTGGCTAGGGCACGTATTGCTTATACCCAGCTGTCATGTGCCTCACTAGGCTTTCTTCGCTGTCCCCACTCCAGGCTGGAGGAAACTGTATGGGAGCCAACAGATAACGTGGAGGCGAGGCAGGTTGGGGTCCGAAAGACTCTGTAACTGGTGGGTTGAAGACATTGAAGCATATGGCAGCGAATCGACAGCAATGGCGGTCTTGTTGCCAAGAGTGGTCGAACGAAGACCCGGTGGTAGGCAGCGTTGCTGTAGTCTGGTTCAATATCACACCTAACCTATTGGGGCCTATGTGGTTCGCCACTCCAAGTCCTAGGACTTAGGTTACCGGTTACCATCACTGAACCGCAGGTCTTCTTGACCATGGGGCCTCCCCCGTCTGCTGTTTATTACATAAAAGTGTTTAATGAAAAAATGAAAACTCTGATCAAGAGATTGGCTCACTAGGTCACGTTAGGCTCCCTGGATGGGAACCCCGAGGTCACGGTCGCTGATGGTTGGAGATACTAAGCGATATGGCTGGGTGTCGCAAACTGGCGCTCATGCATCTACTCATTATTCGGTTAACACCAGTTCATATAAATTCTGTATCTTCTGTTTGGATTGGTTTTAACATTCCGATCATCATCCTTCTCTTTTATCCAAATAGGCGGCCTAAAGATAGCAACCAAAACCGGCGCACGAAAATGCATGGTTAATGATTGTAAAAACTGAACTGAATTTGTCATTCCTTATCAGGCCAGAATGCTTCAAATGATATATATATATATATATATATATATATATATATAATGTATATTCGGCTTGCGAGCCAGCTTGGTGCTAACGCAACAATGAGAATAGCAGAAAATAGGGGTCGAGATACAAAGCAGTGTTAAAGGAGGTCAGTTAGTTAAGTTGAATAACGAGATGAACAAATTTTTGTTTGTTTCACTGCACACGTAGTATTTTTGTTATTTTATCGTTTTTTTCAAGGCACAAGAATTTACCAGGGAGGGCGTACAGCATTCACACCACTGACTTCTATTTTGGGCCATATCTCAACGTCTCTAACCAACGACGATCCTCACTCCTTGGGTCCCGACCTGGAGGACGGGCTGCACCTACCGAAGCGAGAGCTGAAGCCAGCTTCTTCATATCTCTACGCCATAACCTGGTCTGACCGTCGCGGCGCTTCTTCCAGCCATGCCCGACATGTGTAAAGAGAGCACGGAAAGGTAGTCGATGGACAGGCATACGCAATATGTGACCAAGCCATCGGAGGCGGTGTAGACTTGTGTTAGAGAACGACTATCCGCACCCAACACACGACGACACGTCATTGCTCACCCGATATTCCCATCAGACACGAGTAATGCTTCGGAAATATCGGTGGTCGAATACAGAAAGTCGATTGACATCCTCAACCCGGAGGGGCCAGGTCTCGCAACCGTAAAGCAAAACGCTACGAACCGCGGTGATGTACACCTTTCCCTTAAGGGATAGTCGGATATCATGGCGGCGCCACAGGTGTCGCATGTTGGCGAAAGCTGCCCTAGTATTCGCTGTTCGTGATGTGATCTCCCTAACACCACTACCAGCTGCGATCAAGCTTCCGAGGTACTTAAAGCTCTCAACTACCTCCAGTCGATCACCACAGAGCGTGAGTGCAGGCACAGGCTCCTGCCACTCTTGTACAGGCACTTTGCATTTGAACGGCGCAAAGCACATACCATACCTGGATACCTCGATCGCCAAGCGTTTCAAGGCGTGTTGGACTGTGTGTGTTGTCACCCAGCAAGGTGGTCATCGGCATATCCTAAGTCAAAGACTCTGTTCCCTGGGAGGAGTTCAACTTCACTGTCTACTAGACCGGACAAAATATTCTGTAGAACATAGTCTATGACAAAGTTGAAAAGGAATGGGGATATAATTCAGCCTTATTGAACTCCACTGGAGACGGCGAAGGGTGGTGAAAGCTGACCATAGGCCCTAACCCGACTTGAGGTATGACGATACAACTCTTTGAGGATTGATACATCTCATGTACTGCATTCCTCAACAAAATGTTCCATAGTGCTGTCCTATCGACAGAGTCGAAAGCCGCACGGATGTCTACGGACACTGATGGCTTTGCATTATACATTTGTGTGGTGAGCAGCAGACGGGTGAACCCCATAGCCACGAAGACCTGCTGCTCTTTGATCTGCTGGTCTTTGATAGGCATGACGGTGCTCTAGAAGTTGTCGGAGGGTGAAGATTTGATCATTGCATCAACGACCGGCGCAAAACCCGGCCCGCTCCTCGCGGGTCTGCTCTTCATGCATAATGTACAATCAGCGGAGCATGACGGACGTTGGGGGTTGTGGCTGATCACCCTTCCACTGCACCTCACTAAATACTTCCATACGACCGAGCGTACGGTTTTGAATTCCCCAAGATTTACTTTTTTCTTACCACGTAGTACACTCGGAGCCTATCATGAACGAGTGAAAACCACACAGTAATCGACTGCGGGTGTGAAAACGAGAGTTTGCGACTGACCAATGATGAATCGTTGTCAGCGGTGCGCCGAGCTGCGGGGGATTCGTACAAGAATCTTATGAGCGTCTCAGTTCACGGTTATTGGCTGTTGTCACCGAACTTCATTCAACACTTGAATTTACATGGCCTCAGTTACTACGTCTTACACAAGTGTAACTTTTTCACACTCGCAATTGGTCCCCTTTATGCATTCCGGTTGGAAAGATCCATTAGTATAGAGACCTGGAAGATTGATATTTCTGTGGAAAGAAACAAACTTTCCCTACCTCCGACGTGATTCGTTTCAATTCTTGTGCACAGTTCTAACAACTTGTCTGTTTGAGATGATAAAATACCAAATTATCTAATTGTGGTATGCATTTCTACTGCAGATGTCACTATATCCTACTTTTGAGGACCTGAAGGTTGATGGAATACTGAAAGCACAAGGCCAGGCCTTGCTGGATAGTACTCAGTCTTCGCCAGAGAGCTATGCGCAACTGGCCAATTTTATGGGCCTAACATTAGACAATTTCCAGTATAATGAGAAAGGCGAACTCGTTCCACGACCTCAGTCGGTTGCACCGTCTACCGGAAACATTCCTGCTACTCCACAGGCTGGCGCAATTTGTGCACAAACCGGATCGCAAGCAATAATCGGGTTCCAGGAATGCCCACCATCCATTCGACCCGGTGTCCGTCGAGTAGTTGGCTGTAAAGATAGTCGCGGAAGGCTGGGGGTGCAGTTGATTGATGTTGACAAGGTAAGTCTGGCTGTGGATTCATTCCCTTTCATTTGTGGTGGTTCTGCTCGTAGAGTCTCATCAAATCATTGAACTGAATGGATGAGCAGACGTTTATCTGAACTAGTTCGTGAGCACCACCCAACCTGGTTGAATAGTTGAGTGATTAGGACTGTCAACAATTCGATTAATGTACCCAAAGCATTTCGGCCCATTTACTTAGTTCGCAGCCGTCGATCTAAGAGGATTAGGATTCGCATTCTGACCACAGCAGAAGCGATCGGAATCCCCGCCATCCTATGCTCC